CATAGTGACACACAAACACGAAATTTTAAGTCCTCGTAAAATTTACTTGTTTTTAGCCATCATTTCATCATGGTTATACATACCATTTTCCGGTATGTTTTATAATATCTGAAATTTTACTAATTTTCTCATCTGGTTTACACCATAGTGACACACAAACACGAAATTTTAAGTCCTCGTAAAATTTACTTGTTTTTAGCCATCATTTCATCATGGTTATACATACCATTTTCCGGTATGTTTTATAATATCTGAAATTTTACTAATTTTCTCATCTGGTTTACACCATAGTGACACAAACACGAAATTTTAAGTCCTCGTAAAATTTACTTGTTTTTCCATCATTTCATCATGGTTATACATACCATTTTCCGGTATGTTTTATAATATCTGAAATTTTACTAATTTTCTCATCTGGTTTACACCATAGTGACACACAAACACGAAATTTTAAGTCCTCGTAAAATTTACTTGTTTTTAGCCATCATTTCATCATGGTTATACATACCATTTTCCGGTATGTTTTATAATATCTGAAATTTTACTAATTTTCTCATCTGGTTTACACCATAGTGACACACAAACACGAAATTTTAAGTCCTCGTAAAATTTACTTGTTTTTATCCATCATTTCATCATGGTTATACATACCATTTTCCGGTATGTTTTATAATCTCTGAAATTTTACTAATTTTCTCATCTGGTTTACACCATAGTGACACACAAACACGAAATTTTAAGTCCTCGTAAAATTTACTTGTTTTTATCCATCATTTCATCATGGTTATACATACCATTTTCCGGTATGTTTTATAATCTCTGAAATTTTACTAATTTTCTCATCTGGTTTACACCATAGTGACACACAAACACGAAATTTTAAGTCCTCGTAAAATTTACTTGTTTTTAGCCATCATTTCATCATGGTTATACATACCATTTTCCGGTATGTTTTATAATCTCTGAAATTTTACTAATTTTCTCATCTGGTTTACACCATAGTGACACACAAACACGAAATTTTAAGTCCTCGTAAAATTTACTTGTTTTTAGCCATCATTTCATCATGGTTATACATACCATTTTCCGGTATGTTTTATAATATCTGAAATTTTACTAATTTTCTCATCTGGTTTACACCATTGTGTCACATTTTAAGTCCTCGTAAAATTTACTTGTTCCATCATTTCATCATGGTTATACATACCATTTTCCGGTATGTTTTATAATATCTGAAATTTTACTAATTTTCTCATCTGGTTTACACCATAGTGACACAAACACGAAATTTTAAGTCCTCGTAAAAATTTACTTGTTTTTAGCCATCATTTCATCATGGTTATACATACCATTTTCCGGTATGTTTTATAATATCTGAAATTTTACTAATTTTCTCATCTGGTTCACACCATAGTGACACTCAAACACGAAATTTTAAGTCCTCGTAAGAATTTACTCGTTTTTAGCCATCATTTCATCATAGTTATACCTACCATTTTCCGGTATGTTTTATAATATCTGAAATTTTACTAATTTTCTCATCTGGTTTACACCATTGTGTCGCACAAACACGAAATTTTAAGTCCTCGTAAAAATTTACTTGTTTTTTATCCATCATTTCATCATGGTTATACATACCATTTTCCGGTATGTTTTATAATATCTGAAATTTTACTAATTTTCTCATCTGGTTTACACCATAGTGACACACAAACACGAAATTTTAAGTCCTCGTAAAATTTACTTGTTTTTAGCCATCATTTCATCATGGTTATACATACCATTTTCCGGTATGTTTTATAATATCTGAAATTTTACTAATTTTCTCATCTGGTTTACACCATAGTGACACACAAACACGAAATTTTAAGTCCTCGTAAAATTTACTTGTTTTTAGCCATCATTTCATCATGGTTATACATACCATTTTCCGGTATGTTTTATAATATCTGAAATTTTACTAATTTTCTCATCTGGTTTACACCATAGTGACACACAAACACGAAATTTTAAGTCCTCGTAAAATTTACTTGTTTTAGCCATCATTTCATCATGGTTATACATACCATTTTCCGGTATGTTTTATAATATCTGAAATTTTACTAATTTTCTCATCTGGTTTACACCATTGTGACACACAAACACGAAATTTTAAGTCCTCGTAAAATTTACTTGTTTTTAGCCATCATTTCATCATGGTTATACATACCATTTTCCGGTATGTTTTATAATATCTGAAATTTTACTAATTTTCTCATCTGGTTTACACCATTGTGACACACAAACACGAAATTTTAATCCTCGTAAAATTTACTTTTTTAGCCATCATTTCATCATGGTTATACATACCATTTTCCGGTATGTTTTATAATATCTGAAATTTTACTAATTTTCTCATCTGGTTTACACCATTGTGACACACAAACACGAAATTTTAAGTCCTCGTAAAATTTACTTGTTTTTATCCATCATTTCATCATGGTTATACATACCATTTTCCGGTATGTTTTATAATCTCTGAAATTTTACTAATTTTCTCATCTGGTTTACACCATAGTGACACACAAACACGAAATTTTAAGTCCTCGTAAAATTTACTTGTTTTTATCCATCATTTCATCATGGTTATACATACCATTTTCCGGTATGTTTTATAATCTCTGAAATTTTACTAATTTTCTCATCTGGTTTACACCATAGTGACACACAAACACGAAATTTTAAGTCCTCGTAAAATTTACTTGTTTTTAGCCATCATTTCATCATGGTTATACATACCATTTTCCGGTATGTTTTATAATATCTGAAATTTTACTAATTTTCTCATCTGGTTTACACCATAGTGACACACAAACACGAAATTTTAAGTCCTCGTAAAATTTACTTGTTTTTAGCCATCATTTCATCATGGTTATACATACCATTTTCCGGTATGTTTTATAATATCTGAAATTTTACTAATTTTCTCATCTGGTTTACACCATAGTGTCACACAAACACGAAATTTTAAGTCCTCGTAAAATTTACTTGTTAGCCATCATTTCATCATGGTTATACATACCATTTTCCGGTATGTTTTATAATATCTGAAATTTTACTAATTTTCTCATCTGGTTTACACCATAGTGACACAAACACGAAATTTTAAGTCCTCGTAAAATTTACTTGTTTTTAGCCATCATTTCATGGTTATACATACCATTTTCCGGTATGTTTTATAATATCTGAAATTTTACTAATTTTCTCATCTGGTTTACACCATTGTGTCGCACAAACACGAAATTTTAAGTCCTCGCAAAAATTTACTTGTTTTTAGCCATCATTTCATAATGGTTATACATACCATTTTCCGGTATGTTTTATACTATCTGAAATTTTACTAATTTTCTCATCTGGTTTACACCATTGTGTCGCACAAACACGAAATTTTATATCCCCGCAAAAATTTACTTGTTTTTAGCCATCATTTCATAATGGTTATACATACCATTTTCCGGTATGTTTTATAATATCTGAAATTTTACTAATTTTCTCATCTGGTTTACACCATTGTGTCGCACAAACACGAAATTTTAAGTCCTCGCAAAAATTTACTTGTTTTTTATCCATTATTTCATCATGGTTATACATACCATTTTCCGGTATGTTTTATACTCTCTGAAATTTTACTAAGTTTCTCATTTGGTTTACACCATAGTGACACACAAACACGAAATTTTAAGTCCTCGTAAAAATTTACTTGTTTTTTATCCATCATTTCATCATGGTTATACATAACATTTTCCGGTATGTTTTATGATCTCTGAAATTTTACTAAGTTTCTCATCTGGTTCACACCATAGTGACACACAAACACGAAATTTTAAGTCCTCGTAAAAATTTACTTGTTTTTAGCCATCATTTCATCATGGTTATACATACAATTTTCCGGTATGTTTTATAATATCTGAAATTTTACTAATTTTCTCATCTGGTTCACACCATAGTGACACACAAACACGAAATTTTAAGTCCTCGTAAAAATTTACTTGTTTTTTATCCATCATTTTATCATGGTTATACATACCATTTTCCTGCATATTTTATAATCTCTGAAATTTTACTAATTTTCTCATCTTGTTTACACCATAGTGACACTCAAACACGAAATTTTATATCCTCGCAAAAATTTACTTCTTTTTAGCCATCATTTCATAATGGTTATACATACCATTTTCCGGTATGTTTTATACTATCTGAAATTTTACTAATTTTCTCATCTGGTTTATAGAGCATAATGGGATAATCGTTGAGTAATAAGGGGCCTGGACCCAACCGTTATTGTTGTTTGTCATTCGTAAACGAATGACCTTTGTATTTTGTCTCTCAATATATATTTTACAAGATCCTCATTTCGTGAAATAGACTAAGTCTTATCTATGACAAACAACAATTAAAACGACCTATAACGGCAGACGAGCGAAATACAGACGAAAAGATCGGACAATCCAACACTACAAGTAGTTCGAAACGCGACACGCCATCAGCAACAACACGGAACCTATTTGGCCAAGGGGCAGGAGCATATCTACGAAATTTATTAACCCGAAGGCAGCCATACAACCAAAGTAACGAGCAGCACCGGTAAAGGCGTTAATAACACTCTCTTCTGACCCCGAGATAAAGAAAAAATTGCAGTAAACACCACCATCTTATCGATCGCTGATATTTGGCGCCATTTTTCCGGCGGTGTTGAATTACTCCGAGTACTTCCCATCCACCAGAGGCAGGTCATAACCTTACGTGTGCACGAAAATGCCGAAGTACAAATGTCCCTATCCAGACTGCGATTACGAGACAGAGGAAGCTGAGGACCAACTCGCAGCGGTATTGTTGCAAATCCACTCGACCGGTGTTCACAACAACAGCCAAGCAACGAACACACGCACGGGCATCAACGCCACGGCGAAGATTGAAAAGGTCAGACGGCCAACTATATCCGCTGCTGGGTCCAGTGAGGAATGGACATACTTCCAAACGCGCTGGCAGGATTATGTCGAAGCCACAAAATAACCGGCAAAGACAAAGTAATCCAACTACTCGAATGCTGTGACGAAACGCTTCGTAAGGACCTCACCAGAAACGCTGGCGGCACCCTCACAAACAAACCCATCGACGAAGTCATGGCTGCAATCCGCGAACTCGCTGTACGAGAGGAAAACACGATGGTGGCCCGCATCAAACTACACAACATGCGCCAGGACCGTGACGAAACTATCCGCAGCTTCGGTGCACGTCTTCGTGGACAAGCCAGCGTATGCAAGTTTACGATTAACTGTCCCAACTGCGCAACAGAAATCAACTACACAGACAATATCCTACGCGACGCATTAACCGTTGGAATCGCCGACAGCGACATCCAACTAGACTTGCTCAGCGATAAAAATCAAAATATGACACTGGAGGAGGCATTTCTGTTCATAGAAGCCAAAGAAGCCGGCAGACGTTCGGCCACCCACCTACTCAATAGCCAAAGCATCGATGCTACCAGAAGCCAATATCGCCGCGGCAAACAAGACAATATGACCCAGGGCGTGCAAACCAATAAAACTGGGCCATGTTCCTACTGTGGCAAACATGGCCATGGTAGAAACGCCCCACCCAATGTCCGACGACAGGAATGCCCAGCCTACGGCAAAACATGCGATAGCTGCGGACGCCCTAACCACAACGCCTCCATGTGCAGAAGCAAAACAAAACTAAGCGTCGGGACGCAAAACACAACGCAAACCGAGACCAAGAGGACGCAGTGTTTGACAACCTATGCATGACAAAAAGCCATCAGCATTGCAACAACGGAATCCTGCTAGACCACCATACTTACAATGACATGAATGACCGTTGGGTGAAAAAACCGTCACAATCCCAACCGTTCCTCCATATAAATGCGAAGTGTCACCCAGAGGACTACACAGCCCTCGGTACACCCTGCATTCTACAAGACATCGCTCAGTCACATTGAATGCTATGGCGGACACTGGATGCCAGAGCTGCCTTGCTAGCATGCATATAATGAAACGACTAGGACTACGCCAGAAAGACCTGCTTCCAGTCACTATGCGCATGCATGCTGCGAACAACAATGGCATCGATATCATCGGTGCAGCCATCGTGAGATTCTCTGGTCAATCCAAAGACGGACGAGTGTTGGAGAGCCGTCAAATTGTATATGTCACTCGTGACTCAAATAAACTCTTCCTCAGTCGTGAGACATGCGCCGCCCTGGGAATCATCCCAAACAGCTTCCCCACCGTGGGAGACACAATGTCAGTAGACATACATACTAACCAGTCTATTCACGTTGTAGCAGAACACCCATCAAAGCGCACATGTGACTGCCAACGTCGCCAACTGCCGCCACCTAAACCCACAGTACTGCCCTTCCCTGCAATCGAAGATAACCGAAAAAAAAATAGAGGACTGGCTGCTCCATCACTACAAGTCCAGCACGTTTAACACTTGCGAGCAACAACAACTGCCACGCATGGAAGGTCCACCAATGCGTCTCATGATTGACCCAAATGCGAAACCTAAAGCACACCATACACCAATCCCAGTCCCTTTACACTGGCAGGACGAGGTGAAAGCTGGCCTTGACCAAGACGTGGCCCTCGGCGTGATTGAACCCGTCCCAATCGGCGAGCCTGTCACCTGGTGCCACAGGATGGTCATCTGTGCGAAAAAAGAACGGTAAACCACGACGAACCGTTGACCTACAGGCACTAAATGCAAACGCCACTAGGGAGACCCACCACACCCAGAGCCCTTTTCACCAGGCACGCTCTGTTCCCAGTGGCAAAAAGAAGTCAGTGTTCGACTGCTGGAACGGTTATCACAGCGTTCCCCTTCACCCAGACGACAGACACCTCACCACCTTTATCACTCCCTGGGGTCGCTATCGGTATAAGTCAGCGCCACAAGGGTACATTGCCTCGGGGGACGGTTACTCACGCCGGTTCGATGAGATTGTATCACACATTCCAAACAAAACCAAATGCATAGACGATACCCTACTTTGGGCAGATAACCTCACCCAAAGTTTTCATCAGGCTGTCGAATGGTTAGATATCTGCGGTCGAAACGGCATTATCCTCAACCCAGACAAATTTGTCTTCGGCTCAGATACAGTCGAGTTCGCAGGGTTTGAAATCACATCAAACTCTGTTCGCCCAAGCAGGAAATTCATCGATGCTATTCGCCATTTCCCAAAGCCGCGCAGTATCACTGACATCCGCTCTTGGTTTGGCCTGATCAATCAAGTCTCATATGCATTTGGAGCCACTGAACGCATGCTACCGTTTAGGCTAAAACGGTTTTATTGGGACGAGGAGAGGAATCCAAATCCGTTATCATAAATGAAATCCACGAGGGCGTTCGCATCTTTGACAAGACACGTCCCACTTGTCTTGCCACTGATTGGTCAAAACACGGCATCGGCTTCTGGCTACTGCAAAAACACTGTGAATGCCAGTCGACTGGACCACTATGCTGCCACACCGGGTGGAAGATCAGCCTGGTCGGCAGCCGCTTCACACATGCTGCTGAATCCCGATATGCACCGATAGAAGGGGAGGCACTGGCGGTCGCAGACGCCCTTGACAAAGCCAGGTTCTTCGTGCTCGGTTGCACCAACCTCACAATCGCCGTAGACCACAAACCCCTGCTCAAACTATTCGGTGATCGGACATTGGAAAACATCCCAAACCCCCGCCTACGTAATCTCAAGGAGAAGACACTGAGGTACAGATTCAAAATGATCCATATCCCTGGTATCCGTCACAAAGCCGCCGATGCGATCTCCCGCCATCCCACAGGTCCAGAGAACCCCACCTTGCTCTACCTCCAGGACGACATAGCAGAGTTGAAGGACACTACCATACACACCGGCTTTGACGAAACCATCGCTTCACTCGCTTCCCTAGCACTTACAAACGTCGCCACAACCTGGGACAAGGTACGCATGGCAACTGCAAGCGACACCACTATGCACGATCTCATGAATGTCATTGAATCTGGCTTTCCAGCTTCACGTAATGACCTGCCAACACCATTACAAGAATACTACCAGTTCCGCCACAGCCTCTACACAGTGGACGGCGTCATCATGTACAGAGATCGTGTGGTTATCCCACCACTGTTACGCAAAAATATCCTGGAAGTTCTACACTCGGCACACCAGGGCATATCATCTATGACATCCCGCGCAGAGGACTCAGTCTTCTGGCCGGGAATCACCTCAGATATTGCAGCAATGCGTACGCAATGCAACCACTGCAACCGGATGGCACCATCCCAACCCAGCGCACCACCCACACCAACCATCTCACCAGCCTACCCTTTCAGTGCATCTGTGCGGATTATTTCCACTACAAAGGATCCAACTATCTCGTAATCGTAGACCGTTACTCTAACTGGCCTATTATCGAACGAGCCAAAGACGGTTGCGACGGACTAATCAATTGCCTACGTCGCGTCTTCACCACCTTTGGGATCCCAGACGAATGCGCTACTGACGGCGGACCAGAATTCACCGCCGTCAAAACACGGCAGTTCCTCAAACAATGGGGAGTACACCACCGCCTCGCCTCCGTTGCATTCCCGCACTCAAATTGCCGCGCGGAGGTTGCCGTTAAAACTGTGAAACGCCTCATCACGAACAATACCGGCCCCACTGGTAGCCTCAACACAAACGCCTTACAAATTGCTGTTCTACAATATCGTAACACGCCTGATACCGACACGAAATTATCACCGGCCCAATGCGTCTTCGGTAGACCCATTAAGGATTTCATACCAATTTTCCCCGGCCGTTATAGGCCACACGTCACCTGGAGGGAAACACTCAATGCTCGCGAGGAGGCTTTACGAAACCGGCACATGAGAGCGGCGGAACGTTGGTCAGAACACACAAGAAGATTACCACCTCTGTCCATTGGACATCACGTAAGAATACAGAACCAAACAGGACCGTACCCTACGAAATGGGACAAGACTGGAACAGTCATCGAAGTCCTTCAACACGATCAATACCGCGTCAAAGTCGACGGGTCCAACAGAATTACACTAAGAAACAGAAAATTTCTGCGGCAATTCACACCTGTACAAGAGCAGTTACCCAAAAATACTATTGATACGGACCTGCTGCTGATACCAAAAGTCTCAACGGAGAACCTTACTCCCAACAAAATGACAGCCAGCAGAAAACAAACACCGTCATTACCATGTCTAAGACCGGCGACACAGACTGACACCCCGGAGCCAGCACCACTACCGAGCACATATACCGCAGATGGAACTCCACCAAACGCAACCAAAATACCTGAAGATGCCAGTGAACCTACACCAGCGACCACAAAGCCAAGCAAGAAAGCACCACTAGCTCTACGCAGATTACTCGATTTCAACAAGAAAGGGCTGTTAGAAAATTGAGAGGATGAACAAATATCATAGAACAACTTCATATTACGCTTTCCTATACTAGTAAAGACTTAGGGGGGGATAGAGCATAATGGGATAATCGTTGAGTAATAAGGGGCCTGGACCCAACCGTTATTGTTGTTTGTCATTCGTAAACGAATGACCTTTGTATTTTGTCTCTCAATATATATTTTACAAGATCCTCATTTCGTGAAATAGACTAAGTCTTATCTAGTTTACACCATTGTGTCGCACAAACACGAAATTTTAAGTCCTCGCAAAAATTTACTTGTTTTTAGCCATCATTTCATAATGGTTATACATACCATTTTCCGGTATGTTTTATACTATCTGAAATTTTACTAATTTTCTCATCTGGTTTACACCATTGTGTCGCACAAACACGAAATTTTATATCCCCGCAAAAATTTACTTTTTTTAGCCATCATTTCATAATGGTTATACATATCATTTTCCGGTATGTTTTATAATATCTGAAATTTTACTAATTTTCTCATCTGGTTTACACCATTGTGTCGCACAAACACGAAATTTTAAGTCCTCGCAAAAATTTACTTGTTTTTTATCCATTATTTCATCATGGTTATACATACCATTTTCCGGTATGTTTTATACTCTCTGAAATTTTACTAAGTTTCTCATTTGGTTTACACCATAGTGACACACAAACACAAAATTTTAAGTCCTCGTAAAAATTTACTTGTTTTTTATCCATCATTTCATCAGGGTTATACATAACATTTTCCGGTATGTTTTATGATCTCTGAAATTTTACTAAGTTTCTCATCTGGTTCACACCATAGTGACACACAAACACGAAATTTTAAGTCCTCGTAAAATTTACTTGTTTTTAGCCATCATTTCATCATGGTTATACATACCATTTTCCGTATGTTTTATAATATCTGAAATTTTACTAATTTTCTCATCTGGTTTACACCATAGTGACACACAAACACGAAATTTTAAGTCCTCGTAAATATTTACTTGTTTTTTATCCATCATTTTATCATGGTTATACATACCATTTTCCTGTATATTTTATAATCTCTGAAATTTTACTAATTTTCTTATTTGGTTTACACCATAGTGACACACAAACACGAAATTTTAAGTCCTCGTAAAATTTACTTGTTTTTAGCCATCATTTCATCATGGTTATACATACCATTTTCCGGTATGTTTTATACTATCTGAAATTTTACTAATTTTCTCATCTGGTTTATAGAGCATAATGGGATAATCGTTGAGTAATAAGGGCCTGGACCCAACTGTTATTGTTGTTTGTCATTCGTAAACGAATGACCTTTATTTTGTCTCTCAATATATATTTTACAAGATCCTCATTTCGTGAAATAGACTAAGTCTTATCTATGACAAACAACAATTAAAACGACCTATAACGGCAGACGAGCGAAATACAGACGAAAAGATCGGACAATCCAACACTACAAGTAGTTCGAAACGCGACACGCCATCAGCAACAACACGGAACCTATTTGGCCAAGGGCAGGAGCATATCTACGAAATTTATTAACCGAAGGCAGCCATACAACCAAAGTAACGAGCAGCACCGGTAAAGGCGTTAATAACACTCTTCTGACCCGAGATAAAGAAAAATTGCAGTAAACACCACCATCTTATCGATCGCTGATATTTGGCGCCATTTTTCCGGCGGTGTTGAATTACTCGAGTACTTCCCATCCACCAGAGGCAGGTCATAACCTTACGTGTGCGAAAATGCCGAAGTAC